CAGGGTGGCTGCCTGGGCCCTGAGTGTGCCACTGTCCTTGCCCAGCTACCTGCGGTCCCGATCCTAGCCCCGGAGGCGTCTGGGTTGACTCACCCAAGGGTGGCCGTCTGGGGCCCTGCTTCCTCCGGGCTCCCATCTTTCCTCTCCGGGATGTTAGGAGCCTGTGACAACTGCCGGCGGTCTGTGCTCTCGGCCACCCTGAGCTGAGTGTAGCTCAGCGATCTCAGTCATCCAGACGCCAGGGCGTGGCCAGCTCTGGGCGCAGGGCACCTGCTGATGGCAGGCAGCACGGCCTGGCCCCCCCGGGTCTGGTCCTTCCTGGGGGTCCGGCCCCGGTTGGGGCCACGGGCTGACCTGTGTCTGTGGCCCGCAGAGCTGCACGTGGGCATAACCAAGAGGCTGAGGACGACGGAGGTGCTGGCAGGCGAGAGCTGCGCCTTCGAGTGCGTCCTGTCCCACGAGAGCACGGGCGACCCAGCCGTGTGGACGGTTGGCGGGAAGACGGTGGGCAGCTCTGGCCGCTTCCGCGCCACCTGCCAGGGCCGGAGACACCTGCTGACGGTCACTGACGCCGCGCCCGGCGACGGCGGGGAGGTGGTCTTCTCCGTGGGGGGCCTCACCTCCAAGGCCTCGCTCATCGTGAAAGGTGGGCACATCCGCCGGGGCGCTGGGGCAGCGGCAGCCACCAGGGAGTGCTTCCGGGGCTCATCTCCCCACGCCCCTTCTAGCGTCTGTGGGGGCCCTGCTGGGGTCCCTGGGGAGACCCCACTCGGGTAGGGAGCGGCCACACTCCCAGACAGGCTGCTCTGAGCCCCTGGGGCTGGCCCGGATTCCGGCCCAGTCCGTGGTCTGATTGCCCCGAGCAGTCAGCACAGCCCAGGGCCGGCGGTCCCAAGCCAGTGTGAGGACCCTGAGCTGAGGCCAGGGGCTCCCTCCCGCCATGAGACCCCATGGGTGGCCCTGAGAGTGCACTCCTGCCGGGCGCTCTCTCTGCAGATCCAGCATGCGCTTGCCCTCAGCCGAGCCCTGAGTGACAGGTCCGGGTCTGGTGAGTGAGGCTGCGTCTCGCGCCCCCACCTCCCGGCGCTGGCTCCCAGCGCGCCAGGGCTCTGCGGCCCCTGGAGTCCCCGCCTTGGAGGGCTGGGGCGCTGCGGCCTTGGTCACCGGAGGCTGGGCACTCTGACGCCTGGCCCTGTCCCTGCCCAGGCCGTGGCGGGGGCCGTGGGCGTGGCCGGAGTGACGGCTGGCTGTGGCCGCGGCTCACAGGCCGCCTCCTCTGCTCCCTTCAGAGAGGCCGGCGAACTTCACGAAGCCCCTGGAAGACCAGCGAGCCGCGCTGGGGGAGGACGCGGTGCTGCGCTGCGAGCTGTCTCGCGCAGGCGCGCCCGTGCGCTGGCTGAAGGACGGCAAGGCCATCCGCAAGGGGCAGAAGTACGACGTGCTCGTCGAGGGCACGCGGGCCGCCCTGGTCGTCCACGCGGCCTCGCTGAAGGACGCGGGCACGTACACGTGCGAGGTGGAGGGCTCCAAGAGCACAGCCCGCCTCTGCGTGGAAGGTAGAGGTCCCGCCCATGCCCTGGTCCCCGGGAACCTCAGCCCCCTGCCCAGGTGGGACGGGCCCACCCAGCCCTCACACCCGGCCCAGCCCTCACACCCGGCCCAGCCCTCACACCCGGCCCACTCCGCCTCCACCTCCCACCTGCAGAAAAGGCGAACCGGTTCACAGAGGAGCTGGCCGACCTGCACGCGGAGGAGAAGGGCACGGCCGTGTTCACCTGCAAGACGGAGCGGCCCGTGGCGGCCGTGACCTGGCGCAAGGGCCCCGCGGAGCTGCGGGCCTCGGGGAAGCACCGGCCCAGCCAGGAGGGCCTGACGCTGAGGCTCGCCATCACCGCCCTGGAGAAGGCGGACAGCGACACCTACACCTGCGACATCGGCCAGGCCCAGTCCCGCGCCCGGCTCCTGGTGCGAGGTGAGGCCAGCCGGGCGTGCGCAGCCCAGGCTCTGTTTGAACATGGCCCCACAGACCCGGATGCGGTCAGAGACTGGGCTCTGGATGGGGTCAGCCTCAGCCTCCGAGGGTGAAGGGGACACCCTGGGTGGTCTCTGAGGCTCTCCGAGCTTGACCTTCTGTGGACGAGCCAGTGGCCTTCACTTATTCATACATTTATTTGCTGACAGCGTGTTTCTCACATGCGTGTGCAGCGAGTGCCTTGCCCCCATGTGTGAATTCTGCATGCATTTGAACACACGATGTGTCACCCTCTTCTCAGAGGGGCAGCCAGGCCAGATGTGCTGATGGCCAGGGGGCTTCAGGTGCTCCCAGGGGAGAGCCCATGGTCCATAGTGTCGTCATGGATACTCGTGGTGGTGTCTCAGTCCATTTTCTGCTGCTTGTAACAGAATACCTGAAACTGGGTGATTTATAAAGGAAAGGAATTTCTTTCTTATAGTTTGGAGGCCAACAAGTCCAAGGTCAGGCAGCTGCATCTGGTGAGAGCCTTCTTGCTGGTGGGGACCCTGCAGAGTCCTGAGGTGGCGCAGGGCATGACGTGGTGGGGGGCTCAGTGTGCTGGACCATAAGGCCAGGTGCGATGGCTCGCGCCTGCAATCCCAGCACTCAGAGAGGCCGAGGAGAGAGCATCATCTGAGGCCAGGAGTTGAAGACTGGCCTGGGCAACATAGCAAGATCCCATCTCTACAAAAAAGTTAATAAATTAGCCAGATGTGGTGGTGCATGCCTGTAGTCCCAGCTACTTGGGAGGCTGAGGCAGGAGGATCTCTTGAGCTGAGGAATTCGAGGCTGCAGTGAGCTGTGATCACACCACTGCAGTCCAGCCTGTCTCAAAAACAAAACAAAACAAAACAAAACAACAAAGTAAAGAAGTATTAGGTTAGGGCAAAAGTAATTATGGTTTTAGACTGTTGATTTTAAATCATTATAACTAGGCTCAAATACATCTTTATTAATCAAAATAGGAACCATTACAGTCAACATGTTTTTGCCAATGAGAAATAAGTTTGTTTATTCCTGTAGCTTCAAAATCCATGCTTAAGAATTCAACGAACTCTCGGAAAGCGTTTTCTGCATCCTGCTGGTTGTGGAAACGTTTTCCCTGCAAAAAGTTGTCGAGATGCTTGAAGAAGTGGTGGTCGGTTGTCGAGAGGGCAGGTGAACATGGTGCATGAGGCAAAACTTCACAGCCCAATTCGTTCAACTTTTGAAGTATTGGTTGTGTGACGTGCGGTCGGCTGTTGTCGTGGAGAAGAATTGGGCCCTTTCTGTTGACCAATGCCAGCTGCAGGCATTGCAGTTTTTTAGTGCATCTCATGGATTTGCTGAGCAGACTTCTCAGACATAACGGTTTCCCCGGGAATCCGTAAGCTGCCATGGATCAGACCGGCAGCAGACTACCAAACAGTGGCCAGGACCCATGACCTTTTTGGTGCAAGTTTGGCCTTGGGAAGTGCTTTGGAGCTTCTTCTCTCTCCAACCACTGAGCTGGTCGTTGCCAATCATCTTATAAAATCCACTTTTCTTGACACGTCACAATCTGATCAAGAAATCGTTCGTCATTGTTGCATACAAGAAAAGAAGATGGCACTTCAAAAGGATGATGATTTTGATTTTCGGTCAGCTCATGAGGAACCCACTAATCGAGCTTTTTCAACTTTCCAATTTGCTTCAAATGCCAAGTGACTATAGAATGGTCGACCTTGAGTTCTGCAGCAGCTTCTCGTGTAGTCGTAAGAGGATCAGCTTCGATGACTGCTCACAACTGGGCGTTGTCAACGTCCCACGGCCAGCCACTGCGCTCCTCATCTTCAAGGCTCTCGCCTCCTCTGCAGACTTCTCGAACCCCCACTGCACTGCACGTTCGTTAGCACTTCCTGGGCCAAATGTGTTGTTGTTGCAAGTTGTCTCCGCTGCTTTATGACCCATCTTGAACTTGAGTAAGAACATTGTTCAAATTTGCTTTTTGTCTAACATCATTTGCATTGTCTAAAATAAATATAAAATAGATAGCAAGTAATGTCATTAGCAAAAAAAACATAAAGCGAGAAATGTGCATTAAAATGATGTATAACATAACCACCTTTATTTAAGAACGTATTCCAATAGCAAATGGCAAATTTCAACAATGTTAAAACTGCAATTACTTTTGTACCAACCTAATAATATAAACTAGGAAGCTTCCCTTCGAGTTTTTCTCTCCAATGAATTCAGTGTATCCAGTGAAAGCATTTTGTTGTCACAGTTAAAGCCCATGATTTAACAAAGTTGGTAATCATAGTTTATAAAAAAAAAAAAATCAGTGAAGGCGAGAGTCATAAAATAATGAAAGATATTTTTTTAAAAATTAAAACATACAGATGTCCACCAGTCTGGCCGGGAATGCCGGAGCCGTTTCTTTGCACATAGGTCCACTGATCAGAGTGCTTTGTGTCTTGGGCGCTACATACATCTACAAGTGGAGTCATTCCTTGGAGGAACTTACGGATGCAGAAGGAATCTGAATGCACGAGTTACCTCGATATTAATAAACTCTCTCTTTAACATCGCCAATTCAACAGCAAAAAACAAAAACAAAAACAAAAAAAACCTTCTTTCTAGGAATGGACATTCTCCATCCTCCAAACCATTTGAATTAAATGTTAACATAGCCCTGTAAAAACACTCATGTTTCTTCCGTCAACACAAGATTTCCTGTCATTGCACGATCGTGACGACAAGAACAAGTCTGGGGATGGGTGGCTGCTCTTGGGAAGCTCAGCTCTGTGGGAGGCGGCGGGATGGCCCTCCCCTGGTTCTCGGCAAGCAGGGGGCTCACCCGGCAGGCTGTGCAGAAGGACCCCCCAGGGCGCGGGGCTCGGAGGTGTCCCCAGACATGCCTTGGACGTGTTCTGCTCTGATCTGCCTGTTTGTGGAGTTCCATCAACAGGAGCTTGTTAGGCAAAGCCACTCTCGCTCCACCTGGCGGGTGGGGGGCAGGCCGAGCGGGCCCCCGACAGCAGGTGCCCTGACGTGCCCACCTGCACCCCGGCAGGCCAGAGCGTGCGCATCATCGAGGACCTCGAGGACGAGGACGTGCAGGAGGGCGCCTCGGCCACCTTCCGCTGCCGGGTCTCCCCGGCCGACTACGAGCCCGTGCACTGGTTCCTGGACCAGACGCCCCTGCACCCCAACGAGCTCAACGAGATCGAGGCCCAGCCCGGGGGCTACCACGTGCTGACGCTGCGGCAGCTTGCGCTCAAGGACTCGGGCACCGTCCACTTCGAGGCAGGCGACCAGCGGGCGTCCGCCGCCCTGCGGGTCTCCGGTAGGTCTCTCGTGTGCCTGGAGGGCAGAGCCGTGGGGGGTGGGGGACTCCGAGTTGTCCACGTCACTCGGGTGCAGCCTCTCGCGGGGGTGGGTGTGGCTTGGACACGTGCCGGGCGTGGTTTCCAGGTGCAGGGCGAAGGGGCGATTGGCTGCCCTCGGGCAGGGGGCTCCGCAGGCTGAGTTGGGCTCCATCACGCCGAGTCCCCCCGTGTGACGTGCACAGTGGTGCCTGGTGTGGCGCAGGCCAGGCTGTGTCCCCGCTGGGGTGGGAGCCACCCAGAGCCCGCCCGGTCCCCTTCTCAGCCCTTTCCGTGGCCCCAGCCCAAGGGCAGCGGCAGGCGGCAAGACCGGGGCGTGGCCTGGTCTGCTGTCACCTCTGCGGTGCCAGCTCAGCAGCCTCCCCAGACACAATGGCTCCTCTCCTGTCCCCCAGAGAGGCCGAGCGTCTTCTCTCGGGAGCTCACGGACGCCACCATCACCGAGGGCGAGGACCTGACCCTCACATGTGAGACCAGTGTCCCCGACAGCCCCGTGTGCTGGACCAAGGACGGGAAGGCCCTGCGGCCATCCGCCCGGTGTCAGCTGAGCTACGAGGGCCGCCGGGCCCAGCTGGTCCTCAGCGAGGCCACTCCGCAGGACAGCGGCCGCTACAAGTGCGAGGCCCGGGGTGCCTGCTGCAGCGCCATCGTCAGGGTCCACGGTGAGCGCCCCGGCTCGCAGACGCCACCTTCCCCTGCGTCCTTCCGCCGCCGTCCCTCTGCGTGTCCGTGTCCTGACTCCTCTGCTCATGAGGACACCAGGCCTGCGAGATCAGGGCCACCCAGACGAGCACGTTTTACCTCGATTCCCCCTGTCTCCCAGTAGAGCCACGCGCTCGGGTCCAGGGTCGGGGCTGCGCCACGTGAATTTTGTGGTCCCCAAATTTGTGGGACACAATCAGTTCATGACAGTCTACCCTCCTCTGCCCCCCTGCTGCTTAGAGCATCGTCCTTGTCACTCACATCTGCCCCTTCCCAGCGGTCTTGGGGTCCCTGCCACCGGCCCCCGAGGCAGGCGTGGGGGTGGGCTGGCGCTGGCCCCTGCCCCAGCCGTCCACCACCTTCCGGGGCCCTGGCAGGGCCCAGGGCAGGGAGGGCGGGCTGAGCCTGCGTCTGTCCGCAGCCCGGCCGGTGCGGTTCCGAGAGGCCCTGAAGGACCTGGAGGTGCCGGAGGGTGGAGCTGCCACGCTGCACTGCGTCCTGTCGTCTGTGGCCGCGCCCGTGGAGTGGCGGCGCGGGGACAGCGTCCTCAGGCCGGATGAGAAGTACAGTCTGCGCCAGGAGGGCGCTGTGCTGGAGCTGGTGGTGCGGGACCTGCGGCCCCAGGACGGCGGGCGGTACTCCTGCTCCTTCGGGGACCAGGTGACGTCGGCCACGCTCGTCGTGAAAGGTGAGCCTCGCACTCTACCCCGGGAGGCTGGCGTGGCCCCTGCCTCCCATGTAGAAGGGCACAGTGATGTCCCCATGTCTGTCTGGCCTTGTCGCAGCCCTGCCCGCCCAGTTTGTAGGGAGGCTGAGAAGCAAGGAGGCCATGGAAGGGGCCACGGCCTCGCTGCGGTGTGAGCTGAGCAAGGCGGCCCCCGTGGAGTGGAGGAAGGGGGCCGAGACCCTCAGAGATGGGGACAGATACAGCATGAGGCAGGACGGGACCACGTGTGAGCTGCAGATCCGTGGCCTGGCCGTGGCGGACGCCGGGGAGTACTCGTGCGTGTGCGGGCAGGAGCGGACCTCGGCCACTCTCACCATCAGGGGTAAGACTGGCGTGTCCACGCCGACCTGCATTCTGCCGTCTAATCGCTCACTGCCTGCCGTCCATCTCTACTCCCCCCACCCCCGCCCGTGCCATGCTCTTCCCTTTGCGCCTCGGAGGACTTCCAGCCTCCCGGGTTGCTGCAGGAACCACGGGAAGCAGCGTGTATGTCTGGCTTCCCACCCCGTGCAGCCGTGGGCTCTGTCCTGTGGATTCCGTGTCCATCTGGGCATGTTATGTACCCTCCAGGGAGTCTGATGTTCTCTGTGTCTGTCTGTCCATCCCCAGCCCTGCCTGCCCACTTCACAGGAAGACTGAGAAACCAAGAGGCCATGGAAGGGGCCACGGCCACGCTGCGGTGTGAGCTGAGCAAGGCGGCCCCCGTGGAGTGGAGGAAGGGGCCCGAGACCCTCAGAGATGGGGACAGATACAGCCTGCGGCAGGACAGGGCCACGTGTGAGCTGGAGATCCGTGGCCTGGCCGTGGCAGATGCCGGGGAGTACTCGTGCGTGTGCGGGGAGGAGCGGACCTCGGCCAGGCTCACCGTCAGGGGTAAAGCCCACGTCTGGCCACGTGTGCACATGGCTCTGCGTCTGAGCACTCATCCACGTCCCCACCTCGTGCCCGTGTCCTTGTCTCCCCCTCGGTCCTGCGGCAGGGATGTCTCACCCGCTCTGGGGGACCCATCTCAGGAGCTGGGGAACAGCAGAGGATGGGGGCCTTTCCCCGTCCCCGTGGGGGCCACAGCCAGGAATACATGATTATGGGGAGAATCAAATAGAAGAAATGCAGCAGAAGGTCTTCATGGGGGAGAACAGAGGAAAGGAGGGAGCAACGTGAACTGGGAAGGCCCCCGAACAGGAACACCAAGAAGGGCGTCAGCGAGCTGGGGCGCCAGGACCCCTGTCCCAGGCCCGGGAGGGAGGGCGTGTGGCCTGGGGTGAGGCGCAGGCGGTGCCCTGTCTCCTGTGCAGCCCTGTGGCCAGGTGCTGGGGTCTCGGGGTACAGTGAGGGTGCATGGCTGTCCTGGCTCCTGGGTGGCCCCTGGCTGCCACCTGCTGTTGTCCTGTGTTGCCCGCATGGTCCCCGTGGCTGGTGCCTGTCCACACTCTGCAGAGCATGCTGTGTTGTGTCGCCACGTCCTGATGACCAAAGTGAGCACATGGGTTGTGGCCTGAGCATGTCACACAAGGGGCCATGGTCACAGTGGGCTGTGGTCGGGCTAAGGCAGCCCCCGTGGACTAGACAAAGTGGCCCCGGACCCTCAGGCGGGGGCAGATACAGATAGGAAGGGTATTCTAGAGCCCCGTGGCCTGGCCCTGGTGCATCCTGGGTGTTCGCAGGTGTGTCTGGTAGGGGCAGACCTCAGCCTGATCGGGGCCCGGGGGGGTGAGGCCACTGCACTAGGCAGCCCAACCATGGCCTCACGGTCACACTGGGGAGAAGCTTCCGGCTTTGAGTAGCCACAGCGTTCCCCACGGGAGGGACAGGCCCTTTAGGCCGCTTCTTGTGTGTCCATGGAGCCGGGACTCCTGCCCTGGTGTGGCTGGTGGCCGGGTGTGGAGGGTCCAGGTGCTCAGGTGGCCCTTGGTTCAAGGGCCAAGCAGATGAAACAAAGCCAGCCACGGCTGAGAGGCCAGGCGTCTTAGAGTGGAGGGAAGGGCGTCTCTGCAGACTCGTGGGGCCTCCAGCCCGGGGCTCTCTTGGGCTCTGCTCACACAGCAAAGATGGTCCCCAGGCCACTGAAGAAGCGAGTCCTGGGGTCAGGCGTGCTGTCATCTGGTCGCTCACGCCTGCAGCAGGAGGCGCTTGCCATGTGCGTGAACATCACGGAGAGAGGCCCAGCCGCCACGCTTCTGCAGCTGCAGGGACGGAGCACAGCGTCCCTACCGTGGAGGCACTGGTCCTCGTGGCATCACAGCCACCAGGAGACCATGGAGGGACATGGGGCTCCACGCCCTGTCATGCGGCTGAGAAGCAGGGGGCTGAGGGGAGCAGCCGTGGGCTGCCTGAGACAGCCGCTTCCAGAGTGGCCAGCCCTGAGAAGGCCTCGGGGCGTGCGTGCCCGCCTGGACCACACGTGGCTCCCCTCTAGAGGATGCAGGCGGCACTCCTGCACGCTCACGCAGTGCCGCCTGGGCTGAGCTCGGGCCTCGGGTGGCAGGAACTGATGAAGCACGAGTGGCTATAACCTCGAGGGAGGCTTTTGGGCCAGTTGTGTCTCCTTCCTCCCAGCGCCCGTTAGGATCACAGAAGAGCTATGCAGTAGCCACGGAACAGGCCCAGGGCCACGGAACAGGGCCATGGCCAGGCCGGCCCGCACCCTCAGGTCTGGTGATAGATGCAGTCTGTGCCAGGACGGGCCACAGAAGGTCCTGGGGAGGGGACATCCGTCCTCTGCCCATCCACGCCACGGGTCCTGTGGCCAGCTCTGCGCACCTGTCCTTATCCTGGGGTCCTCGATAGGGGTCCCGGCTCCTCCACGTCCCTCCCCTGATGTACCCGGCCAGTCTGTTCTTTGCTACAGCGTGCTGCTTCCCATGCATGTGTCCATGTGGTCAAGCTTTTATTCCTAGTTTGTTCTGGAGTGTGCGTGTTTTCTTGTTGAGTGGCCCATACTGTTCTCTCCTGGTTTATGTCCTGCCAGCCAGATTCACACAAAGTATGAGGCCGGAGGGGCCATGGAAGGGGCCGTGGGCATGATGTGAACAGACCTGACTGAGGGAAACCACAGCCCACGTCCTGTGCTCAGCACACCCTGCATGTGGCCTCTGTCCAGTTGGGTTCTGTGTTTTCCCTGTGTCACCCACATCTTATCTCTTCTGTGTGCTCAGAGGGTGTGATGGTATTTGTTTTCTGACCCTTTTTAGTCCTGCCTGCCAAGTTCACAGAGGGTCTGAGGAATGCAGAGGCCACAGAAGGGGCCACGGCCACGCTGCGGTGTGAGCTGAGCAAGGCTGCCCCTGTGGAGTGGAGGAAGGGAACCAAGACCCTCAGAGATGGGGACAGATACAGCCTGAGGCAGGACGGGACCACGTGTGAGCTGCAGATCCGTGGCCTGGCTGTGGCAGACACCGGGGAGTATTCGTGCATGTGTGGGCAGGAGAGGACCTCGGCCACGCTCACAGTCAGGGGTAAAGATCGTGTGTGACCACGTGGATGTGTGGCCTCGTGTCTACACACTGTCTCCCTGTCACCAACTTGTGTGTCCAAATGTGGCACAACTCCTGTGGCAACCTGTGGTCATCTGTCCTCTAACTGGGGTCCCCTGGGTACCTGCCACCTCCCCTTCTCCTTGTCACATCTCCTCATGTTCACATCCCTCCCTTGTGTTCTCTGTTCATCCTGGGCCACTTGGTTCCTCACCATCTACACATTCACTTGCTCATGCTGTGGCCCTTTGGCAGTTTGTGTAGCTGCATGTGGGTGTCCGTGTCCTGTACACAGAGTCCTCCAGTCGGTCTGATGTTCTCAGTGACCGCTTGGTCCTCCACAGCCCTGCCCGCCAGGTTCATAGAACACGTGAGAAACCAGGAGGCCACAGAAGGGGCTATGGCCTTGCTGCGGTGTGAGCAGAGCAAGGCGGCCCCTGTGGAGTGGAGGAAGGGACCCGAGAGCCTCAGAGATGGGGACAGATACAGAATGAGGAGGGATGGGACGAGGTGTGAGCTGGAGATCCGTGGCCTGGCCATGGCAGATGCCGGGGAATACTCATGCGTGTGCGGGCAGGAGAGGACCTCGGCCACGCTCACCGTCAGGGGTAAAGACCAGAGGTGCTCAGGCAGAGCCGTGTTCTGGTGTCCACATGCTGGCTCCGTGCTGTCTGTGTCCGCCGTGCTTTCCCCGAGCCTGGGCCACCCCGTTCCCGTCACTGCACGGAACCCCCAGCCGCCTGGGCTCTTGCGGGAACCAGGAGAAATCCGGATCTGCACCCAGCTCCCCACGCATGTGCCAGTGCCGTTCGGTCATGTTGTCCTGTGGGATTCCCTGGCTTGTCCTCCGTCTCGTCACACCTGTTCCCCACGGCTGCCCAGCAGTGCAGCCCTCCTCACCTGCGCGGGCCGGCAGCACGCAGCGCTGCAGGCTGGGCGGCTCCAGCAGCACAGGTTCACTCCCAAAATTTCTGGAGGCTGAAACTCCAAGGTCAGGGTCTTGGCAGGGTTGGCGTCTCCTGAGCCGTCATCTCCGTGCATCTGCACGTGGCCACCCCTCTTTGTGCACGTGTGTGTCCTACTCTTCTTTGAGAAGGACGCCAGTCACACTGGACTGGGCCCACCCTGACAACCTCACGTTGGCTTTTAAAGATCCCGTTTAAATGCAGTGACATTCTGAGGTACTTGGCGTTAGGACTTCAACATAGTAGTTTTTGGAGGACTCATTTCAGGCCTTGACACTCCACCTTCTGGCCCCCCAGAATTCATGGCCTTCTCACGGGCAAAATGCATTCTCCCCTTCCCGACGGCCCACTTCGTGACCTGCGCCAGCGTCAGCACTGAGTCCGGGCTCGTGTGAATGCCGTCCCCATCTAGTCCCCATCTAGAGCAAGGGGGACGCCAAGCGCAACTCACCCCGCTGCGGAACTCCCCCTCAGCTGGGAAGCTGTCAGGCCAGACCAGTCAGGTGCCACCGGGACACAGTTGGGGGACAGGCACAGGGCAGACATCCCTATGCGTAAAGGATGAAACTGGAAAGAAAAAACACTAGGTCACGGCTCTAAACGCAAATGTGACTCTACCAGGGAAAGCTCCTGGCCATTTCAAGCCTGGAGAATCACCCTCTTTGGCCCCATACTCTGTCCTCCGGGCCCGCCACGGCAACCCCAGTCTCTCGCACCAGGCAGCACCCCCCCCAGCACTGGGCACAGGTGACCTGGCTCTCAGGCCCCTGTGGGCCGTGGGAGCCATGCGGATCCCTGAGTGACCTTTGGAGCCTTTCTTCCCTTTCTCGTGGGACAGCACACGTTCGCATCCGTGTCATGCCGTGGGTCCAGCCGGGGGCACCCTAGATCTGGTAGCCCGCCTTCATCTCGCCCCGTCTCGGGCCCGTTTGGTCCGGTCCGGCCGCTCTGTGCTGGTGGACAGCTCTCGAAACCTCGCTGGCCTCCCGTGCGAGTGTGAGGGGCCCAGGCCGGCAGAGAAGGGCTTCCTGGGTAACCGCGTCTCTGGGCCCAGCTTCTGCGAAGATGCCGGTCCGTCATCGAGCTGCAAAACGGGTCGGCAGCACGCTTTAGGTGGTTGTCTCGGTAGCTCCCACCCCTCGCGCCACGGCGTGTGTGCGCTTTCTGAGTAGAGTCTGAAGAGCGAGGTGTCCGTGGGCCGGTTTCTTCTGTGGCCTCTCTCCGTGGCTCGTAGATGGGTCCTTCCCTGTGTCCTCACACGGGTTATCCCTCCGTGTGTGTCCGTACCGTCACCTCCTCTGCTTACACGGAGCCAGTCGTCTCACATCCACAGACCCCACAGCTGCCCTTTAATAAAAGACCGTCCGGCCCACGCGACTGTTCTCTCTGGAACACGCTTCCTGGCTATTCGACAGCATTGGTGGGCTGACAAATTTCCAGAGCTTCCAAGTCCTTGTTCGTTTTATTTGATTCAATTCGTTTTTCTCCTCTTGTGCTTTGCTGTGATCGGCAAGGAGGAAATGGGCTTCTCCTCTGACGTGTTTCGTGGAAATCTCCGGAGCTGGACACACATGGTTTCACTGTTTCCGGTCTGCCTTCCACACAGAGCACGAGAACACGGTCTGGCCAAGTTCTTGGCCACTTGTTGTAGTAGCAAGGATCTCCTGTCCTCCGGTTTGCAGTGACGCGTTCTTTATTTCTGGCTGAGGTCTGACCAGCAGTGTCCTTATAATGTCCGTTTTTCCGCAATCTGCTCGTTTGTGGGAGTCTAGGCTTTTTCTGACAGGCACCCGACAATCATCCCCGCCTGTTACCTGGTTCCAAAGCCATGCCCGCATTGGTAGGTGATTGTTGGAGCCGCACCCCACTCCCGGCACTGAAAAGTGTGCATTCGTTTTCTGACCGGAAGTCTGAAGATGAAGTGTTGGAGGTCGGCTTCCTCCGAGGCTCCGATCCTTGGCTCGTAGACGGCGTTTCCTCCCTGCGTCTCCACGCAGGGTCCCCCTGTGTGCTCCTGTGTCTGCTTACCTGTTCTAATGAAGTCGGTCGCGTTGGAAGAGGGCCCACCCTGGCAGCCTCACGTTACCTTAGTTACCCCTTTAAAGGCTTCATCTCTAAATAGTGACACTTGGAGGTACCAGACGTTAGGATTCCAACATGCGAATTTTAGGGCACACAGTCAGACCAGAAGAGGGTGTAGCTGGGTGGCCAGGCAGCCTGCACCCGAGGGCTCTATCTCTGCCTTGCACAGGGAAGGGGGCGGATGGCAGGATGCCGTGTCAGGTGTGGCGTAGAAGCCGCAGCTGCGGTCCGTTGCTGTCTAGGTGGCCTGAGCCAGGGCCGTGGGTGGGGGTGTGGGTCCACTTGGGTCGGGACGGGGCTGTGTGCGCTGGGAGGGGTGCAGCCAGCCGGGCATGTCCACGCAGGGGTGGTGCGGAAGGAAGCGCTGCGGGGGAAGGGCGTCTCCTATATGAGTATGACAGTGGGGCCAGGCGGTGACGTCTGACCGGGAGGTGCCTCCCACGTGGTCACAGGGAGGGAGAATCGAGGGAGAGAGCGGTCAGGTCATTACCTTATTGCATCTGTGGGTTGCGAGTTGGAGGAGGTTGCCGTTTCCCAAGAACAAGAGGTCCTGGGTAGGACAAGGTGCCCTTTGAGAAGGTGACAGGCCTGGAGTGGAGCCCATCTCTGGGCTGAGCTGCCCTTGCAGGGGGACGCAGGAGGGCCTCGCGGTCAGTCTTGGATGTGCTGTGCTCCATGTCCCTCCTGCTTCCGTCTCCTTCCTGGATGTTCAGCTTGTGCCCCTCAGCTCTCCAGAGGGCTTGATGGATTCTGTCCATGTGACCTTTCCTAGCCCTTCCAGCTCGATTCATTCAAGATCTGAAGACCATGGAGGCCACAGAAGGGGCCACGGCCACGCTGCGGTGTGAGCTGAGCAAGGCGGCCCCTGTGGAGTGGAGGAAGGGATCTGAGACCCTCAGAGCTGGGGACAGATACAGCCTGCGGCAGGACAGGGCCACGTGTGAGCTGCAGATCTGTGGCCTGGCCGTGGCAGACGCTGGAGAGTACTCGTGCGTGTGTGGACAGGAGAGGACCTCAGCCACGCTCACCGTCAGGGGTAAAGATGGTTGTGGGCCAGTGGCTCGGTGTCTACATGCTGTCTCTGCACCACCACCTACCACCAGCAAATGGGACACAGCTCCCAGGGTGACTCCATGACACCATGGTGTCTGTCCTGTATCTGGGGTCCTCTGGGCATCTCCGATCTCCCCTTCTCATAGTCAGGAGATGTCCTCATGTTCACGTCTATCCCTTCCCATTCTCTGTTCCTGCTGGGCCACTGGGCTCCTCGCCTTCTGTGTGTTCATTTGTTTGTCCCTGCCACGGTCCATGGGCAGCTCGTGTGGCTTTTTGTGAGTCGTGTCCTGTACACAAAGTCCTCAGGATCATCTGATATTCTCAGCAACTGCTTGGCCTTTCTCAGCCCTTCCCGCCAGATTCATAGAAGATTTGAGAAATCAAGAGGCCACAGAAGGGGCCACGGCCACGCTGCAGTGTGAGCTGAGCAAGGCGGCCCCCGTGGAGTGGAGGAAGGGGCCCGAGACCCTCAGAGCTGGGGACAGATACAGCCTGCGGCAGGATGGGACCACGTGTGAGCTGCAGATCCGTGGCCTGGCCACGGCGGACGCCGGGGAGTACTCGTGCGTGTGCGGGCAGGAGAGGACCTCGGCCACGCTCACCGTCAGGGGTAAAGACCACGTGTGGTCAGGCAGAACCGTTCTGGCGTCCAAGTATTCACTTCCGGACATCTGTCTCCACTCATTCCATCTTTCCTCCCCGTCTCTGTGCCACCCTCTTCCCGTCGCTCTGTGGAACCCCAGCCTCCCGCCACTGCCACAGCGGGTTGAGTCATGTGTTCCCGTTGGGTTCTGTGTCTTGTCCTCCATCCTATAATGTCCTGTCCCCCAAAGTTCTGCAGAGCCTCCGATGATCTCTGTGTGTTTCCAACCCCCCATGCTTCTGCCAGCCACATTCATTTAAATGTGAGGCCTGAGCGGGCCACGCCGTGTGGTGTACAGCCGGGGAGTGGCTCATGTCCAGTGGGTTTTGTGTCTTGTCTGTGTGCCCACGTCCCGTGTCTTCTGTGTGCTCAGAGGGGTGTGATGTCCCAGTCTTCTGACCCCAGCCCTGGCCGCCAAGTTCACAGAGGGTCTGAGGAATGCAGAGGCCACGGAAGGGGCCACGGCCACACTACAGTGTAAGACTTGGAGCATAAGATGGTTGGTCCACGTGGGGAAGTGGGAGGGATAAGGTGGTCCCAGAGCCTCTCGAGCTGGGGGGACATGTATACAGCTGAGGCAGGGGACGGGGAGACACGTTTGCTGAGCTGCAGATCCGTGGGGGCCTGGCCGGGTAGCTCGTGGGAGCCGGGGGGTACATCGTTGCGTGGGGGTGTTGGCAGGAGGAGCGCCTCGGGCCACGCTCACCGTCAAGGGTAAAGACCACGTGTGGTCACGTAGACTGGACCTTGGTGTCTACACGTTGTCTCCGTGTCATCACCTTCTGCTCCCAGTGTGGCACAGCTCCTTGGTGACCCCGTGGGCATCTGTCCTCTGTCTGGGGTTCTCCGGATTCTCCCACCTCCCTTTCTCCTCACTGGGAGACGTCCTCATGTTCACGTTTGCCTCTTTGTACTCTGTGGCTCCCGGACCGTTGTGTTCCTCACTGTCTGTACGTGGATTCGCTCATTCATGCCGTGGCCTTTGGCAGTTTGTGTGGCTGCGTGTGGGTGTGCGTGTCCTGTACACAGAGTCCTCCAGTCAGTCTGATGTTCTCAGTGACCGCTTGGTCCTCCGCAGCCCTGCCCGCCAGGTTCATAGAAGACATGAGCAACCAGGAGGCCACGGAAGGGGCCACGGCCACGCTGTGGTGTGAGCTGAGCAAGGCGGCCCCTGTGGAGTGGAGGAAGGGGACAAAGACCCTCAGAGATGGGGACAGATACAGCGTGAGGCAGGATGGGACCCGATGTGAACTGCAAATCTGTGACCTGGCCGTGGCAGATGCTGGGGAGTACTCGTGCGTGTGCGGGCAGGAGAGGACCTCAGCCACGCTCACCGTCAGGGGTAAATACCACAGGTGGCCTCCTGAGTGACTTCTCTCTTTTCCCACCTAACCCATGTACTCTGTGCTTTTCCCCATGTCTGTTGAGACCATTGTCATCTCTTTCCCTCCATCACTCCTCTGTGCGACCCGTTTCACTAACGAGCACTGAAAACGCACTGGCTCGGCCCAGCCTGGGCTCTGGGGATATAGGACCCAAGGAAGCCACCAAGAGACAAACGTCAGGGCTCAGGAGCGCTGTCCAGGCCACTGGCATGTCCCCAGGAGCCGGGACTGCACACGTGTTCCTGGGCCCAGACACGGAGGTGAAGGCCTGTGTCCTTTCATGGACATGCACGTTAGAGTTTGGAAGTTCGGGGAGGAGGTGACCAGGCAGGCCACGGCCTCCTGAATGCAGTGCGAGGGTCTGACGGGGCCTCGTGGTCACGCCACGTTTCTGAATTGACGCTGCCCTCCTCCGCTCAGGCTGATGTGACCAAGTTCTGCAGCCTGGGTGGCTCCAACGGCAGAGACTGACTTTCTCAGAGTTCTGGGGTTGAGATTCCAAGACCGAGATGCCAGCTGGGTTGGTCTCTTTGAAGGTCTCCCTCCTGTCTCGTGGGTGGTTGTGTTCTCTCTCTCTTCACGTGGTTGTCCCTCTGTGTGCACCTGTGTGTCCTGACCCCTTTGGCTAGGACACCAGTCCTGTGGGATCGGCCCACGCTGGCAGCCTCGCTTTGGCTTTTAAGGTCCTGTTTAAAGACAGCGACATTCCGAGTACCAGGTGGTAGGGTGGTGACACAGGCATTTTGAAGGAAGGAGGACACAATTCAGGCCATAAGACTCCACCCTCCGGCCTCCCAAAATTCTTGGCCTTCTCACAGGCAAAGCCACATCTGCTTCTTCCTGGTGGCCTGAAATCTTATCCCATTCCAGCATCTACTCTTAAGTCCCAGTCCCATCTGAATATCATCTCCATGGAGCGTGAGGGGGACGTCAACTATGACGTGCTCCGGCGAAAGCCTTCAGCTGTGCAGCATGAACGAGACGTGGTCTGTGCTTCCAGGACACTACTGAGGGACAGGCAGGGGACAGACATTCCTATTCAAAAACTGGGGCATGGAAAAGAAGTTCTGGGCCATGAGATATGAGCAAGTCTTACACAAGCAGGGGAATCCATTAGATTTTAAGGCTGGAGAATAATCCTCTTTGGCTCAGTGCTCTGGCCTTGGGGCCCGGTGGGGTTGCAACCACAACCCCCAGGTGGCAGTGCCTGGCTCTCTGGGTCTGAGGAGGGGACAGCCCTTCCTCCCTCCAGGCCTGTGCCCTCCGTCTGCTGGAGACCGGGCCATCCCTGCTAACCTTGGAACCATCTACCCTGAAGGATGACACATGGCCTCAGCCCTGCAGCTCTTTCTCTCGGCCCGTCCTCTGTGAATCTCAGAGTCTGGCAGCCTTTCTTCATTCTCCCCTGTTCTGTCCAAGCTTGTGCTGTTTCTGCTGGTATAAAATTCTCAAAACGCTTGTCCTGTGCAACCCATGGGGCCAAGCCGTCAGACAAGAGGGTTCTCCACAGATCTTTCCTTGGTAATCTCATTTCTATTACTGGCTCCTGCTGGGGGTTCCACATGGATCCAGAAATCACACACTGATCTCTTAGCAATTGCTTGTCCAGCCACACCCTTGACTGTCTCCCCAGAACGCGCTGTCTCATTTTTATGCAATATCCATATGCTGAAGATTTTCTAAATCTTCCAAGTTCTGATTATTATTATTTTGCTTCACGATTCCTTTTTGAATGTATGCCTCTCCTCTCACATTTTACTATGACCATTAAGGAGAAACCAGGCTACACTTTCAACACTTTGCTTAGAAACCTCCTCAGGTAGACATCCAGTTTCAGTGTTTCTGAGTCAGTTTCACCTTCCGTAAAACACTCGACTACAATTTGATCAGGTTCTTTACCGTTGTACAATAAGGATCACCTTTCTTCAGTTTCCAATAGCACATTCTTCATTTCCATCTGAGGCCTGACCTGATGGAAAACAAAGAAGCTTTTTCTTTTTCTTTTTTTGAGGCAGAATCTCACTCTGTTAGCCCAACTACATGCCATGGCATCATCATAGCTCACTATGACCTTCAACTCCTGGGCTTGAGCGATCCTCCTGCCTCAGCCTCCCTAGTAGCTGGGACTACAGGCACACGCTACTATGCCTGGTTAATTTTTTTTTCTATATATTTTTAGTTGGCCAATTAATTTCTTTCTATTTTTAGTAGAGACGGGGTCTCGCTCCTGCTCAGGCTGGTCTCGAACTCCTGACCTCGAGCGATCCACCTGCCTCAGCCTCCCAGAGTGCTAGGATTACAGGTGTGGGCCACCTCGTCTGGCCAGAAGTGGTGGCTCCCACCACTGCTTAATCTGGATATTTAAAAAATATTTTTTAAAATATTTTTTAATCACCCATTTCTTTAAAAAAAATGGGTGATTTTTAACATCTATATTTTCATCAAGAATGCCTTCATGGCAAACTCTTGCTTTTCCTAGCATGCTCCTCTAAAATCTTCTAGCCACGTCCCATTACCCGGTTCCAAGGCTGCTTCTTTATTTACAAGCATTTGTTTCAACGGCACCCACTCCTGGTACCAAAATCTGTATTCATTTGTTTGGGCTGCCATAACAAAGCATCATAGACTGATGTCTTAAACAACAGAAGTTTGTTTTGTTTTGTTATTGTTATTGTTTTTTAATGAGCGCTGTAGCATCAGCCTAGCTCACAGCAACCTCAATCTCCTGGGCTCAAGCAATCCTACTGCCTCAGCCTCCCAAGTAGCTGGGACTACAGGCATGCGCCACGCCACCGGATGGCCCGGGCTAATTTTTGTGTTATCTGGTATATAGTACTATACTACTATAGCCAGCCTATATATTGGCGATGACGTAGCTCATCAGTCGTAGCGGTGCTTGGTCCCAATTAAATTTTTCTTGTTGTGTATATGGTAGAGACGGAGTTCGCTTCTT